CTGTTAGCAAAAGACAAATCAGAATCAAAAATCTCCAATAAATTCAACACTGCGCCAATGATACATTCCAAGCTTAAATCTGTTGCAAATGACATTGATGAGGCAATAAGTGATACAAGGGCTACAATACCCCAAATAGCACAATGAATCTGTTGAGTAAGCATGTCAAATCAGAAGCAAAAGTACCTTCCAAATGATTTTCTCTATCCAACAACACCAGAATTATATGGATCTAAATTTATCTCCAATAGATTCAAAAGACATAGATATATTCCATACCACCCCCATAGGAGACACTAACGTAGAATAGGTAACATTTTCCTGCTCAACACAATGTTTCCCATAACATCTTCCGTTCCGTCAATCCCTGCAAGATGGTAAGCAATGCAAACATAACTCCAAAACTGCTGCTGCTTGTCCTACAGGCACAATGCCAGTCACTTTATCCTCCCAATTAGGTAGTCTAGACCATGGAGGATTATTAACATATGTCCAAAGCTGCACAGTCTTTTGCCTCCAGAGTGGTCAACTGCAGCATCATTATCCTCTGTCTTTGTTGTCCTCCTCCATTGTCTCGGATGCTCCCTTCTTGTTCTTTTATCTCTGTGCTGGTTTTGCAATCCAAGTGTCTGGAGTTTCTGGGTCACTTCGAGCACAGATTCAGATGCTTCATTCAGGAACCCACATTGGCCCTTCTGCGCCATCTGGAAAGATAGAAGCATACCCTCACCCCCAGGTTAGCGATTTTTCTGGCCTAAACCAATGATTGTGTTTTGGGTCCTTCCACACGACTCTTTTGAGTCTTTTGTTCTTCATTTTCTGTTGCCGCTACTTTTAATAACAGGGGTAGCTGGAATTTGCAGTTCTGTATTACCTGGGTGGGGGCCATGCAAAAGAGACCACAGCTAACTGATAGTGCTATTGATGATGATGCAGGTGTGGCTAAAGGAGATTGTGCTGGCAAGGAAGGTGATGAAAGATAAGAGAATATGGCCATGTCTGGAGTGGAAGACCTTTGGGGTGTAGGTGTAGCTTCCTGCTGAGTCCCAACCAATGAATAACATCGTCTGTACTACTACAAACATTAAAAAGTGTGTTGTAGATTAAACAAGATGGAAATGCTGATAGTTCTGGGCATTTTGCTCTTTCATTTGATGGCATATTTCGCTGTATTAAATGTTCAATATCCCTCTTTACTACATGAAGGTGTTCTTTGATACCATTGAAATGCTGAGTCATTTCATATACACTGCCTGCTGTGTCCCGTTAATCAGAAGAATGTTTAGGCAAAAATTAGGCAAAAAGCAGCTTTCATAAGTTTTTCTCCACAGCCACATTCAGAGGGGAAAAAAACCCGAGAAGTTCTGGATAGGCATTATGAAATGTTACCATCTTGATCCTAAACAAGCTTTACTTGAGCAAAATGATCTTTGATTTTTCAAGACTGACAGAATAGGATTATTCAGCCCGAGGAAGACTGGTAGCAGGCCCGGCAGCAATTACAAAAGGAGCTGAGCTAGATACCACTTTAAGGACAAAGGAAGCTCTGCAAAAACTGATGATAATGGAGTAGAAACAGCTGTAGTAGTAGCAGGAAAAGCATATAGCTTTACTCTTATTTCCCCAACATAACCATGAGGTAACGAAGTGATTGTGAGTTTCTACCCAGTATAACTCCTACAGTTCTAGGAGGAAGTAGACTGTATACACCTGTGGGAATGGAAACTACTTCATTATAGATTTCCTTAGGTATAATAGAGCTTAAATCCAATCCTGTACTGCCAGAGGTAGCATGTGTAAGATCAAGCACAGTGGTTATTGTGGAGTCTGAATCAATGGTGTTACTTTCTTGTTAACAATTGGTGGTAGTCTAAGTACAATTTCATTATCTACTTCATCATCATTCATTTCAGCTGCTTGAACTTTCCACCTCTCTAAAAATGTTGGTGAACAAATGGGTGTGGGGCCCTGGCTGTTCATAGAATCAAAGGCAGCATCTGAAACATTCATTTTTTCCTCTTGGGTAGACCAATTGTAACTGTTCTTGCAGCTCTGTATATGCTCTGGTAATACATTTAGGGATTACATAATAAACTTTCCTATAAGGCTTTTTTTCCTTTTGAAAAAAATCTATGCTTCTGAACGGTCAAAACTCAAACAGATTCAGGAGTAGGAGAAAGCATGAGGTTTCCTATACAGCTTTCCCAATACCCCTCAATCTTAAGTTATGCCACTCATGTTACTCTAATGTAGAGCATCTTAATTAGCTAAGATTGGCAATTATATGTGATCTTGCTTTCTTGGAGGGGTGAAATAAATCTGTAAGAGTGGACAAATAACTCAAATTATTTTTTTCCACCTCATGACAAGGTACACACTATAAGAACCATAACCAGATCCTAACTTTTTTGCTTATACCTCCACCAGTTGTTAGTAATAACGTTTTGAAAGCTGCTTTTCCCTTCTACTTGTGAAACATACAGTGATGATATGAAGTATGTAAAGACTAGGAATAGAGGAGAACAAAGGAGAATTCCATCTTAGCTATGAATGAGTTCTTACGAAAGAAACCTTTCCAAATCTGTTGTTATGAAGGTCTTTTCCTACTGTTTTCTCTCTCCCCATTAAAAGAAGGAAAAATATCCTATATACAAGTGAATTACCTTTTGAAAATCATGTTTTTAAGGAAAAACCTAAGCTGTCTGTACCTCTTATTTTGTTGTTAAAAGTTTTTTTGATCTCTTTTCCTGTCAAGCATTCCATAGTAATAGGGATCCCTGTTCTGGACTGTATTGTATCTTCTAGTGCTATAATATTATTTTCATGACATCTAAATTCAACCTTTGGGTATTTAAAAGTCCCTGTATGTGGTATCCAATAACAATTCTCTTTTTCCAGCTGCTTTTAGTTGGTCTACTTTAATCAATTCTTTACAAAGATGCACCTTCTGGCTGCTTAAACTACTTATCTATAACTGGTCAATACTTTTCTAAGTTCCAAAGGTTTCTTAATATGTTCTTCCATGCCATGATTTATCTGTTTGAGATCTTCAATATCCTTCACTTTCCTGACTTCTTTTTAATGGCAAATATTGGAGAGTTCCAGGGACTCGTGAATGGTTCTATACGTCCTGCAGCTATTTGTTCCTCTGCTATCTGTTGAAGAGCCCTGATTTTTTCTAGATTAAGCAGTCACTGGTCTACCCATATGGGGAGGCCCTTCTTTCCAAGTTATTTTTGGAACTTTTACTGTTCTTTTACCTTCAGCTGTGACCTCTACAAAAATTCTTACTACTTATAGTGACATTCACATGTTTCAGTAAATCTCTTCCCCAAAGGCAACAAGGAATGTGTGATAACACATATGGTCGAAATTTTCCTTGCTGTCCTTCTGCTTTCCAAGTGAGCACTCTGAGCCGGCGCAGCTATTTCTCCTATGCCTTGCAATACTACATTCCCTTGATTCAATAGCCATTCCCTAAGCCAGACCCGTATGCCAATGACTAATTTGGCAGCCCCTGTGTCTATTAACCCTTCATACTTTCTTCCCTGTACTTCTGTTTTTAATGTAGGTCTGGCATCTGTCATAGTTCTATGCCAAAACATCCCTGTACTTCCAAACCCTTCTGTTCCTCTTAAAAGATCTACATTGAGAAACCCACTGATTACCACAGCAACATTTGGGACAGGGCGTACTGGGAACATTTGGTGGTGTCCTTTTGTGTGTCTTACATTTTCTTTTTATGTGACCTGGTTTCCCACAATTAGAGCATTTTAATATTCGTTGAGTCCTTGAAGTATTATTAAATGCTGCTGCCATCACTTGTGCCTGAAAATGTGTGGTTCCTATATCCTGACATCTCTGGATCGTTTCTCCTATAGTCATATTAAGGTTACCTCCCTGTAAAGCTTTCTGGAATTACCCCCAGTCTCAGAAGTTTTCTCCAACAGTGCCCAAATGAACAATTTCCCAATTTCTTAATGATTAATAGCAAAACCTCCAGAATCTGCTAAGATGTTTTTTACCTGTATCTAACTTTTCACTGTAAGTCCAGGCTGGCCAGGCCTAGACCCACAGGGAAAGGAGTTTTACAATTTGTTGCTTCCCTAGCTGCAGCCCCAAGAAGTCTCTGCCTGAATGACGTGGTGGGCACTTAATGACACAGAGAGAGGGAATTGGAGGCTTGTTAGAAAGCCTTTAACACGAATTGGCTATTATCATTATTCTGAGGCATTTGAAGGGGAAATTGAAATTGTTCCTGCAATTCTCTGCATCTTCCTGTTCCTGTTAATTGTTCGAAAGAAATAGGAACTCCTGTTCTGTTGTTATATTTTACTTGTTCTTGGCATTGCTCAAAGTATTCTGACTTCCATATGAAATAATCTCCAGGATCAAGACATGTTTTTACTATAGAACACCAATCATATGGGGCTAATGCTGTATTGGATACTGAGTCTAACAATGTTTGTACATAGGGACGATTAGGTCCGTAATTAACTGAAGCCTGTTTTAATTCCTTTAACAATTTAAATTCGAACTGTCTATGAACTCTGATTTTTGTACCTGGGTTATTTATATCTTCCTCTTCATGTACTGGAAATAGCATGGTTTTTGGCACAGCTAATTTTAATTCCATGGGTACTTCCTCTCCTTTTTCCTCTGCTTTTATGATTGCTTCTTCTAATAACCCTTTACAATGTTTTTTATGGCTTTTTTGATTTTTATTTGTTTCCTCATTATCTTCTCTATATGAGCCTGATCCATATGAGGGTGGGGGTCTTAATGGTGTGGAAGGTGTGATAGGTCTTGCATATATAACCTCTTCTTCTACAATTCTAAGCTTTTCCTCAAATACTTTATTCATCTCTTCTTCTTCCTCCAATTCCACCCCCACATCTACCCTGAATACTTTTGTTGTTGGAAACCTCTTCTCCAAGTTGAATATCAATAGAATGCTACAGATAACAATCACTAACCAGTGAAGAAAGATAGATTACAACATGAATAGGTGAGAGACAGAACAGCTGAATGTTTCTACACTTTATCAGTCAGTACCTCTACAGCAGTGGTTCTCCCTGTGAAACCCAGTGAATACTGTTAGTCTTTAACTCTTGTAACTATTGTATAATCTTTTGATGCATCTCGTTCACCTCTTGCATGTATAAGATCTACTGCTGTGTTTATTGTTGAGTAGGAGCTGGCCTGGGTTGCAGAAGAGATAGCACAGCTCCTATTGTTTGTCAGGGCGGAGCGGGCCCCACTAGGGGTTTAAAGGTCTCTTCTTCTTCCCCTGATCCTGCCCCCACATGTGTCTTAAGTACTTTTGATGAAGGTGGGGGCTGTGGTGGTGATGAAGGTAGAATTCACCTGGACCTACTTCCCCACAGTACTCACTCATTTGTCGCCCCACCATTTCCCATGTTTCTAAGTCTATTGTTCCTTCTGGAGGGAACCACAGGCAGCATGTTTCTACACATTCCAAAAACTCCTGTAACTGAGCATCTGTAATAAATAAACCTCTTTCTTTCACTATTTCCTTGAAAAGTTGTAGATAATATTTCTGTCTTTGCTTCAGCTTTGTGTTTGACCCATACTTTCGATTCCAGGTGCGCCTCCCAAAACCGAAAAGTAAGTGCGTGTGGCTGTTCCAAAGCGACACTATTCTTATGCTCGAGCCCTTTCTCTTTTCTTTTCTTATGCTCCTGTTACCGAGCCCTTCTCTTTTCTTTTCCTATATCCCACTTGCCTGGTGTCCCCTTAGCCCTAGAACTGCTAAAGAATTGTATTTTGTGACGGTCACTCTCTTACCTTGTTTCCACAGCATTGAGCTACCAAGGCTTTTTTTTTCTTTTTTATTCTCTGGAGTCCCAAGAGAGCCACTCCCCTCATGCCTTCTTTCATGTCCCTGTTCAGGCACCACTTGTCGTCCTCCACTAAGTGTTGCATTAAACAGAGGAGTGTGCAATGAAGAAACGTGGGCCAGGTGGGTCAGTGAAAGACTGAGCCATTTAATATTCTGAGGGTCCAGTTTTAATAGTGAAAGCTAACAATCACCCCCGAGGTGTTCCCACCATTCTTACATGACTAATCCCAGCCCTTATGCTCATCCTTAATTGTTCACACCTGCTTGCCATCAAGGTTCAAGGGTCAGAGTGTTCTAACACCTCCCAGGCACAGGATATTGGTGAGCCAAATATTCTGAATAAGTGAGCCCTTTAAGGGTAGGAAAAGGAAAGAGTCAAGCTCTGACCCAAATTCCATATCCCATATTAGACTCTTCAGCTCTGGCCCTCAACAAATATATTTTAATTTTTGCTTTGTTTTATAGCATTGCAGCTCCTGATTTTTTGAAAACGACTGATACACCATACTTTATTGCTGTTTTTCCATGATTTCTGAGAGTCCATGGAATTTTTTTTACTTTGGGAATTTTGGATCAGTTGCCTTCATTATTTATTCTGTTCTGATCTCTTTTTGAATTTTGTTCATTTTACCTTCTGTCTTTGAGGCTCTGTTGTTTACATGTGAGGTGGGTTAGCACTGAAATTTTCGATATGGGATTTTAGTCTTTCAGTCTTTCTCATGCTTCCAGTAGCTTTATATCTTCTTTCCTTCCTCACTTTTTGACCCCTCTCTTTTAAAGTGTTGCACAGACTTCTGGGAATGGTGCCTTCAGCCTCCTTAAATTGGGAAGCCTTAGCTCCAATCTGGGATACCTGCTAATGGTAAATTCAAATGCTGTCCCTGAACATCTTTTCCTATTCCCTTGTCCTGATACTTCCTGTCCTTTGAGTATTAGTATATATTGTACATATAGTGTGTACGTGTATATATATATATTGAGAATTAAGTATACTTAATTCACTGGCATCTTCAAGAACTCATGGTAACTTCATATCAAGATGTGTAGTATTGCCATTTTTGTTACGTTGGCTTGGACTATTCATGAGTTGTTAACAATTTCTCCAGTTATTGAGATGTCTTCATTTGTGTGAAATGTTTTGTTGATTGTATTCATGTAGTTCTTGAAATGAGGAACAGCCAGGAATCAGGTGACTGTTGCAGAGTAGTTGGAAGGGAATGAAGAATAAAAAGGATGGAGCAGCTAGGTGGCACAGTGAGTAGAGCTTTGGCCTTGGAGTCAGGAAGACCTGAATTCAAATCTGGCCTCAGACACTTGACACATACTAGTTGTATGATCCTGGGGAAGTCACTTAACCCTGATTGCTTCTCCGAAAAAGTAAAAAAAAAAAAGAATAAAAAGATTGACAAATGTAGGAAGGAGCCAGATTGTGAAAAGCTTTGAAATTCAAACAAAATATTTTATGTTTAATCCTAGAACCTCTACAATTTATTGAGGTGGAGAAAAGGTAATAAGATTTAGACCTGACTCTCTTCATTTGACTAACCATACCCAGTTTCTTTGACTAGTCCTCATGTGGTACGATCTCAAAGCTTTTCATTGTTTTGGTTCTCATTTCCTGAACGTTTACTAACTTGCCAATATCTTTCCTAAGATGTAGTACCTAACACTGGACACAGTATTTTAATCAAAGTTTCAGTAGACGACATTTGCAGTTTTTTTACCTGCTCTTGCCCTAGTGCCTATCCACTCAGCTTCTGCCCTAATCCTCCTTTACTATCACATCTGAGGCTTGAAACTTTGGTATTATCCTCTAGATTGCTCAGTTACTTTCACTCTATGTAGCAAATTTTCTGCCAAATGTTCCCTTTTTATATTTTAATATCACCTTGTTTCTAATAATAGCCACAATTTTTATTCCTTTCTCAGGTCTCTTCCCACCCTAAATATTTACTAAAATCCTAATGGAATGTGTGTGTCTTTGCCCCTTCCCTCTATAATTAACCTTCCCTTTACACTCTGTACATAGTTATTTGTCTGTCTGTCTTCCCCATTCAAATGTGAGTTCCTTGAGAAATGGGATGCAATTTTTTCATTACACTCTTAGTAAATTATCCACGTAGATAAAATCAGCCCAAGTTAACTTCACAGAATTAGTAATTGTTTCTAAAGCCTAACTCCTCAGATTTTTCATACCTCTTTTATTAATTCATTAATGCTCAGTAACCATTATATCAAATTCTTTAAGCTATTAATATAATAACACCATTAACCAAAGAAGGAAAGTATGCTTGTATCTGTATCCCACAATCTTAGAGGCCAGAAGCATTACTAGGTTTGAGATGAGACAATTTTAAATCGAATCTCTGACATTAACTCTCTGAAATTCAGTTTGTCCATCTATAAAATGAGGGCATTTAGACTCTAGAGAACGGAAGGAATAATCGGAGTAGAAACTTGAGCAGAAGAAAACAGTCTTACTGGGTTTTCTTTCCCGTTTTTGCAGTACTGTAAATGCCAAACACAGTGCTTGACACATAATTGGCACTTAAAAATGAACTTTCATTAACTTTAATTAATCATTTCCTATTATCTACTCCTTTATCACACTTCAGCTACACACAAGGATGATCGTATCCTTGACTTTGCCATTACACACAAATTTTCCATTTCCATGTTCAATTAATTAAATATTTATTAATTGGATTAAAGAAAGGAAATTCTCTTTAAACTATTGCTTTCACCTCCCACATTGTGAATCTAAACATAGTAGAGAGTGGTCATGAAGAGTTGAACATGATTAGTATGACTAAATAACAACAAATCCCATCATGTTAATGTAACAGTTTGTCCCACTACACAGTCAGCTGCTTGGCAGTGGATAAAGCCCCAGGTCTGGAGTCAGAAGGACCTGAGTTCTAATGTTTTCTCAGACACTCCCTAGCAGTGTGATCCTGGGCAAGTAACTTAACTGTTTGACTCAATTTCCTCATCTGTAAATGAGCTGGTGAAGGAAATGGCAAACCACTCTAGTATGTCTGCCAAGAAAACCCGAAATGGCATCGCAAAGAACCAGACACAACTGAAAAACAACTGAATAACAGAAAAATTATTTGTGGATTAATTCAGAGCTCTACCAACAATGCATTAGTGTTTTCCAACAGCTCTTCCAACATTTGTCATTTCCTTTTTTTGTTTGTTTATTACATTGGTATGAATTAGAACCTCAGAAATGTTTTAATATGCATTTCTCTAACCATTTCTGATTTAGACCATTTTTCATAAGGATATTGATAGCTTTTATTTCTTATTCTGAAAACTGCCTATTCATTTTCTTCAACCATTTGTCAATGAGGTAATAGCACTTATTCTTGTAAATTTGACACAGTTCCCTACATACCTAAGAAATGAAACCTTTATCAAGGAACTTAATACAAACTTTTGTTCACCAGTTTTCTACTTTTTTTTTTTCAAATTTTAAGTTGTGTTTGTGCAAAAACTTTTTACGTAATCAAAACAGTACATTTTATTTTCTTCTTGATTAGTCATGAATTCTCCCTTTATCCATAAATCTGACAAGTAATTTTTTCCACACTTCACTAATTTATTAATTATGTCACCCTTGAGTTCATTGAGTTCATAAGGGCAATTGAGTAACTTAGTGGATAGACCTGGAATCAAGAAAACTTGAGTTTAACTCTATCCTTAGATATATTCTAGTTATGTGACCCTTGGTATGGCACTTCATCACTTTTTGCCTCAATTTCCTCCCTTGAAAAATGGGGGCAATAATGCTATAACAGTAGGAGGAGGCTCAGATGAAATAATTGTGAAGTGCTTTGAGCTCTATAAAAATGTTAGCTACTATTTGGTACGTGATATTGGTTTATACATAGTTTCTTCTAGAGTACTTCCCAATTTTCCCTATAGTTTTTGTTGAATGGTGATTTCTTGCCCCAATAGCTGGTATCTCCGGTTGATTAAAAACTGGGTTATTTTGCTTATTTTACATGTTTAGGGCATGGTCTATTGCACTGATGAACATCATGCAGAACCAAATTGTTTCGATTATTATACCTAGTTTGAAATCTACACCCTCTTCCTTCCCATTGTTGCTTTGTAGTAAGTACTTGACCTTATATTCCTGTATGGGACAAGTGAAAGTTTTTTTCATGTAAGATGTAAGCTATGCTCCAAAAATGTAGTAAGGCTTCAGCATGAGCTGGGCCTAAGTTTCACTTTCGTTTTTGGGGAAGGGGGTTGTGCATCAGCTGCCCACCCCCTCCCTTGTTTTGTAACCCCCCTCTTTTGTTTTGTGCCTTAATTTTACCACATAAGGTAATCTTCTACCTCTCAAGCAAGTTTTGAGTAAAACGTATCTCTTGGGTTCTAAATATAGACTGTGAGGTCTCTTGCCTCAGCCAAGGAGGATAAAAAGATTGAGACAAACAGGGGGAAAGGGGGGCTTTCTGGAGTGGTTTCTCTAAGAATATATATATATATATATATATATATATATATATATATATATATATGCTTGGTGTTGTTTGTGCTTTGCCTCACTACTCCAGTCTGTCCTGGGTAGGAGATGCCCAACTCTCGCGCGAGACTTGTTAGAATAAAAACTTCTGTTTTCTACCTGGAGATACCTCTGAGTTTTTATTTGGGTAAGTGGTCTCGAATCCCACTCAGTGGGGGCTCATCCCAGGATTTTCTTTGATTAGGTTGGGGGCTTCCCATGCAGAGGTCAAGACTGAATGTACATCTGAGATTTCTCGGAGGTCTTGAGCCCTGGACGGAGGTTACCACCCAGTCATTGAAATACACCCGAAGAGAGCGACTCAGAGAAACAGAAGGTTTGTTAGGGCTCCGACGATTAGCGACGAAACTGAGAAATTCCGGCCGGCCGGTGGCTGAGAGCAGTCACGTAAGTTGTACATGTGCAGCCAAGAGGTAAGCACTCAATGGTCTGGAGGTAATTGGCATGGGGTGAAGGCCCTTTAGGATGGACTCTAGTTTGGGCAGAGTCCAGGCCTGGTCAAATTGCGGAATAGATAACTCATTGGAAGGATGCCACTGAGAAAGCCTCATGGGTGACTGGTGAGGAGTGGGGGACCCTCCTCGGTAATTTGGTTGAGTCTATCTTTAGACTCGGGAGTTTGGTGATGGCTCCTGCAAATTCCCTGGGTGAGGGCCTAGATGTTCCCTAAGAATAGGAAAGGGGAAATCTAAATTTGCCCAGTCGAAGCACAAATATGAGGTACCTATAGAAAGTCCTTTAAGCAATAGATTGCAGAATTGGAATGGACTACCAAAATATAGAGGAAAAGATAAAAAGAAAATAATTAAGTATGATTTGATGATTTGAGGATTCTACAGGGTGGAGGGTTTTTGTATGTCTATTTTCTTTTTTGTGTTTGTGTCTGTGCGTGGTGTGAATCAGTGTAGGGTTAACAGTGTTTGATAGTAAAAGATTTGGCAGGAAAAACATTCCGAGTTCTGCAGCTGGACTCTGGAGTGCGGCTTTCTTTCTTTCCCCTCTCTCTCACTGATAACAGCAGTTTCAGAGGGGTAGGGCTGGATGGGAGAGAGACAGAGAGAGAAATACTTTATTATTTAGGTTATATGATGGGTAAAAAGGCAAGTTGAGAAGGATTTTCGAAGTGTCAGGTCAGAATTAGAAAGCAATAAGATATGTGCAGTTTTAAAGGGACTTTAATCAAAGTCCATTAAAAAGAAAGACAAGAAAGTTTAAGCTTGTAGGAGAGGGAGTATGTGTCGAAAGCTCAAGGGAGGTATAATTTATTTGCACAGTGTGAGTAGAGGGTTTTGAAAGTAAGAAGGTTTTGAAAGCTTTGGGAAAAAAATAATAATTTCTCTCTCTCTCTCTCTCTCTCTCTCTCTCTCTCTCTCTCTCTCTCTCTCTCATTCTAATTCTGGCCAAATTTGAGTGGGGAGACAGAGAGAGAAAAAGGGAACCTTTTCTCCTCAGATCAGAGAGAGAGGTAGCACTTAATCTTTTCTGCCTCTCATAAAAGAGAGAAGTTTTTGTGTACCAGAACACAATCAGTTGGGGAAGAGAGAGGGAGGGAGAGCCCTATTCAATTATCTCCCTTCAGATTTGCAAGAAGAAAGCTGAATAGCTTTAGATGGTTTAAGCAAGTTGAAAAGGTGTGAGGAAGTCGTCTGTTTAAAGTCGAAAGATGGAAAAATAAAATCCTTTTTTTTCTGCCTAATTTAAAAACCAATAGATAAAGTTATGGGGAGATGGAAGGAATTATGTCCATCCACCTTTCAGGCTAGATCCGTAGGTGGGTTCTATTAGATCTAATATGGATACTGACTATGGTAAAGAGATTGGTTGTTGTTGGAAAGCAAAAAGAAGTAGTCAGAGTACTAGTCCAGTACATTTTTAAACTGACCTGATTATAATAGGTGATGCTAAACTGTTTGTAAAGCTTTCGCAAGAAAATGTGGACATGAATGTGGATAATATCCCTTTATAAAGGGCCAAGGGTATTGAATTCAGAAATGTGTATTTGTATAATTTGGAGAGCACCTATTGCTATTTGGCATTAAAAAATTTATCAATTATGTGGCCCCAAAAGACTGTTGAATCTGATGAAAGGGTCTAGAAAGAAAGAAAGATTTTTTTTTATTGAGTCTGTTTTCAATTGTATTAGTTATGTTGCTGGAAGGGCAATTTCTTTTATAATCTGGAATGTTAAATTCACTGTGCCTTCAGGGAAAAGAGAAAAAGGAATGAATCTGGCTGTTGGGGCATTCTATATGATCCTGTTTTGTAACATTTTCTTTTAAGGTATTGTAATTGAAGAAAGCATAAAATTTCCAAATTTTGCATTTAGTGTTTTAATGCTAAAACCTAGAATTGTTAATTGATTATTTGTGTGTGAAAAGAAGGGGCACAAGGCAATTACTCCTTATGTTGGAAACTTGCCAAGGTCCCTGGAAACCAACAGGGGGAGGGTTAATATAAACCCTCTTAAGATCAAATTGAGGGAACCCGCTACAGTGATGTGAGTAAAACAATATCCTGTATCTCTAGAGGAGAGGAGAGGAGAGGACTCAGACTGGTGATTCAGGGGCTGTTGGAAGGGGGACTTCTTGAACCCTGTATTTCCCCCTTCAATACCCCCATCTTGCCAGTCCGGAAAAGGGATAGAACACACAGAGTAGTCCAAGATTTAAGGGAAGTTAACAAGGTTGTATTACCATCCCACCCAGTGGTCCCTGACCACTACACGATTTTGGGAAGAGTAGATGAAGACAGTAGGTGATTCAGTGTAACTGATTTAAAAGATGCATTCTGGGCCTGTCCCTTAGACCCTAGTAGTAGGGATGTCTTTGCCTTTGAGTGGGAGGATCCTGAGACTGGGAGGAAGCAGCAGTATAGGTGGTGTGTCCTGCCCCAGGGGTATACCGAATCACCAAAATTGTTTGGACAAGTTCTTGAGAGAATCCTGGAAGGGTTTAGATCTCCCCTTGGGACACAGGTATTACAATATGTAGATGATTTGCTAGTGACCAGTAATGAGAAAATAGAAACCAGTGAGGCTTCGATCAATTCATAAACTATTTGGGATCAGAAGGTTTGAGGATTTCCAAACATAAATTACAATTCGTGGAACGAGAGGTGAAATATCTGGGACATTTAATAAGTGAGGGGCAGAAGAAGCTGGACCCAGAGCGGGTGGCAGGAATCCTTCAAACTGCCCTCCCAAAAACTAACAGGGAACTCAGAAAGTTCTTGGGACTAGGATACTGTAGAAATTGGATTGATTTGTATGCATCCCTCACGAAACCCTTGTACCAATACTTATTGGAAGAAGAACCAGAACAAATTTGATGGGGCCCTGAAGGGGGAGGGGATTTAAGAAGTTAAAGGACGTCCTCACCTCCCCTCCTGTTTTGACACTCCCCTCACTGGAGAAACCCTTTCACTTATTTGTGAATGTGGACAAAGGGGTATCACTGGGGGTCTTCACCCAAATAAGGGGAGGCCAGAAGAGACCTGAGGCTTTCTTATCAAAAATCTTGGATTCTGTGGCTAGAGGGTGGCCGACCTGTATTCGAACAGTGGCGGCAACTGCTATACTAGTGGAGGAGAGTAGAAAGCTGACCTTTGGGGGAAGCTTGATAGTGAGCATTCCCCATCAGGTATGAGCCTTACCGAAAAATTGGTCTGCCCAAATATGTGAACTATATGCCTTAAATCGGGCATTAAAATTATTAAAGGGGAAAGAGGTCAACTTTTGCACTGATTCAAAGTGTGCCTGGGGAGTAGTACATATTTTTGAGAGACTCTGTGAAGAAAGGGGGCAACGTTATCTGCCCTGAGAAGAGAACTTGTTAGGATTATGCAGTTCCCAGACAATGAACTTAGTTTGCTGGGAAGTTGCAAGTTTATGTACAGTAGATAGAAATGATTTTTGATAATTGGCTTTTATACGAGGCCAAGTTTAAATTTGAGAAGGAAAGATGTAAAGTGAGATCTATGTATGTGAATCCTGGTAAATCCTTATTGCAACTCCATGAGAGTAAAAGTAACTATATCTGACTTTAAGCTGTGATTAGTGAGACCTGCTGTTTGAGGAAAAAGGCTCTTGGGACTATAACGAATTTTGTTTTGAGTTTGAATTTGGATGTAATTGTCTGCATTAAATCAGTATCTGAGAGAAATGCCACAAGAACAGGTGGAGTTCTGCTTAGAGGAAATGTGATTTATTTGGGGAAAAGCCAAGGGGACAATCTTAGCCTTAATCTAGGATGGGATCCTCCTGGCTCAGTTTCCCCATTTTTTTCCTTTGGAAAGGATGTTTCCCACATGACTATTTCTGAGTCTGGCTATGATGTGGAACAGATACTGTATGATTGGAGAACTCCGACTGTTGTCTGAATTTAAACAAAATTAAGGATGTTTTATCCTCTCATATGTGATACGTCACAGGACCCCAATGTGTGTATATATATATATATATATATATATATATATATATATATATATATATATATATATATATATATATATATATATATATATATATATATATATATATATATATATATATATATATATATATATATATATATATGCTTAACAGAATAATTAGACTCCAAGTGGTGGTGGAAATTATTACTACTCAAACTGGTATGGCTACTGACTTCTTGTCTGTTTTTGTAGACCAAAGCCTGGAAGCTATCTTACAACACAGTTTAGTCTTGGATTATCTCTTAGCTAGGGAAGGAGGTGTCTGCGGGAAGCTGAACCTGTCCACTTGTTGTAGGAAAATAGATGATGTGGAATAAACCATAGAGATATTAATAAGGAAATTCAAAAGATTGCCCATGTTCCAGATCAGACCTGGCCCTCTTCATTTAATACTCCTTGGTGGTCCTGGTTTAGGGAATCTTGGTGGAAGCAAGTATGGTATTTGTTGATAGCAGTAAGTGGAATCATACTACTCCCCCTGTGTGTCTCTTGCATGGTGCTATTAATTACTACTCCTGTACAAAAGACCATCTCTAGAATGATTACATCAAAAGAACCTGTCAGTGAGTCAGAGTAATCATGCTAAGGAATCAAGAGTGGGTGATAGTCAATCAGGAAGAAGGAGAGCCCGATTTTGATGAAATAGCAAATAGGGAAACTGAAGAAACTTACCAGTTTTGGTGGGAGAAACTTTCAACTATGAAATGAGAGGGGGGAACTGTATGGGACAAGTGAAAGTTTCTCATGTAAGATGTAAGCTATGCTCCAAAATTGTAGTAAGGCTTCAGCATGAGCTGGGCCTAAGTTTCACTTTCACTTTTGGGGAAGAGGGTTGTGCACCAGCTGCCCACCCCCCCTTGTTTTGTAACCCTCCCCCTTTTGTTTTGTGCCTTAACTTTACCAAATAAGGTAATCTT